CGTGGGTGCGTGGGGCGCCTGGGGTCCCGGCGGCGCAGGCCTGGGAGGGCGCCCGGCGGCCTCTGCGGGAGCCCTGCGTCCCGCCCACAGCCTTCCGCTCGAGCGCGTCTTGCTCCCCCCCAGCGGGCTGGGTCTCCGGATGGGGGGTTTCCTGCTGCCCCTAGTCCTGGGCGGGCGCGGAGCCACTGCTGCTCCTGTCGGGCGAGGCCACCTTCCCCAGGGCCGCACCGCGGCAGCGCGAGGCCTCTGCAAGCTCGGGGACGTTTTGAGTTGGGGGAAGCGGGTCCCTTGCTCCCCTGCGCAGAGGCCGTGATTTGCCGGCATCCACGAACGCCTGAGGGGTCTGGGAGAAGGACGAGAAAGCGCGCTGGAGGCAGAACGGGGTTTTGGGGACAGAGATACGGGGCCCTAGCTCCCCTACAGGGGCTATTTATTCTTTTCTTTGAGTCGCGGGAGCTGAGGCTCCGACAGGATTTGCCCGCGGACGCAGGCTTGGAAGTGCTCCCGGAAAATGGGAAGGTGTTCCCTCTCACAACTTTACTTCCGCTCCTGGGGATGCGCCCTGTGGCGACACTCGGCACAGCAATAGGATTGAGAATCGGACCGGGCTCTTCTGGAAGGCGGGCCGGCCCCTCTTTAGCGCCAAATCCATCACAAAGAAGACGTGGGGAAATTAGGTTAGTGGGTGCCAACTATATTGCAGGCTGCCAAGTGAATTTTCTCATTCTTTCATTTTTCTACCCAATTTTTTCACTTTTACATGAACTCTTTCCTCCCTGAGCACAACATCAACTCTGCAACTCTGTTACCTTCTTTTAAAAAAATTTTTTAAATTTTATTTTATGTTTTAGTAATGGGGATCAAACTCAGGATCTTGCGCTTGCCAGGCAGGCGCTTGTGCCGCTGAGCTATATCTTCGGCCTCTATGTTGTCTTCTTATCAGCTTTCCTAAAATTAAGTCAGCGCTTTAACTTTTTGACATTGTGGAGACTGCACTGTAGCTGGGGGTTGGCGGAATATCCAGGACTGGGTATCTGATAACTGACACCCCACAGTTCAGGCGTCGTTCGTTTGTCTTAACTCGATAAACATATCCTTAAAAAGATAATAAAATTAAATTTTATCAAAGATTCACTCCACAGCAAAAGCTGAAAGAACTCAGATGCCAGTTGAGAGAATTAGTAAATATATTATGGAATTACCATGACGCTGGACATTAGGCAGTCTATATGAATTCATGAAGGAAGATTAAAATCGTATATCTAATTTGATCACAGATACATTAGCACATATACTGAGCCAGGTACTTTAAAAAAGACAGAAGTACACCCAGATTCAAATAAACAATGGTCATCTTTGGGTAAGAACATCACATTTAAATCTTTCCCCTTTCTAGCTTTCTGTGTTTTCAAAGTGTCTGCTGTAAACATACTCATGGTCATTATAGTTGCTGGTGGGACTTTATGTATAAAGTACACAAGTTTTGAAGAGAGGAAAAAAGTGGAGGAGCATAGAAGAACTTTGCACAGCTCACAAATTTTTGAGCTGTAATAAGACAATTACACCTGAGTTCTGGAGTTGGTATTTAGGTTTAAATTCCAGCACTAACACCAGCTAAGTGACCTTAGACACATTGCTTACAATTTTTGCATCTTGGTTTCTTCATCTGTAAAATGGGACACATGGAGCCTTTACCACATGGGCTATTACAATGTGCATGTAAGGCATAGACTGGCATCTGGCACACGAGTCTCATCACTGGTCCTACTTGGTGTCTATCTGAGCGAGCATCTTTATCCCTGTGACTTGTATCACACCTGTCCTGAACACAGCCTGAGCAGCTGC